TTACTTGTCCAAAGATTAGATGTCAAAATTTAGATACGTTAATTTGACTTACCTCCTTCAGTAGCGTATCGGATGTTTGTGTTAATAAATACTTATTATAACATCTATTTTATTTGAATTATATATTTTATAACAATTTTTGTAACTGCAACATTTACTCACAACGTAAAATAAAACAACAAGTGTGAGTTTACCCCACGTCTACCCTATCCTTAGTTTGCATTTTTAAATAAAATTAGAACGACACTGACTTCGAATTTAAGTCGCATACATATTTGAGGCCCATCGCGGTGTACCTAAGATTTTGATATGCTCCTTCCTTAGTCTTCTTATTCAAAGCATAAAACAGATGTTTTTTTTATTATAACCTTTATAAAAATTGGTACATTTTTCCAAATCAAAAATTATTTTTTCAATCAAAAATCAAGAAAATTTGGGGATATATTTTTTTAATATACTACGGTATATTGGTCCTTAAAAATGATCATTTCTCATTAAACACAAATAAAAATCACTTCATGTTTAATTTGTTACAATAAGTCAACTTAATAATTGTTTTGTTATTGTTCTTTTTTTAATGTCATAACTAAATAATAAATATTTGACATACTAAACAATCATGTGGTCGACCTTAAAAGAGAATAAAATATTTAATTAAAAAAAATATTAACTGTTTTTGCCCTTTTAAATCACAACTGACATTGTCTCTAACAACCTTTACAACTATAAAGTAAAAATTCAATTGTCGGATCAATTCTGTTATCAAAAATAATCTAAAAATTTATTATAAAGTAATCTAAATAACTTAAAATATAGTCATAATGTTTTAACATTTAAAACATATATGTAACATTTAAAAAAATACATGTTAGGGGACTAAAATTACACAAGCAGAATAATATTTATTAATAAAATAAATGCGAGTAAAAATAGGAGACTTTACATTAGATTAAGATGGCAGGCAGTATAATTAAAACATGACGTGTAACATATTTTATCAGTATATCTTGTTTTATGTATACTAAAGTTATAATCAATGTTATAATGAATACGACATTAATACCAGCCAGGACAAGACAGGAAAAACATTAGACGATCGAAACTATTTTTCCAAGACTCCACACTCCAGATTGAAATTTAAAATACGATTTTTTTCAAACGAGAATATCAATAATTCTATTCCAATTTTGGAAAAATGTTATACCAAGATATATAAAATATTTAGCACAAAATAGTTAATAACTGAGTTATATTGAAAAAAATTATTGAAAACAAATTAAAAAAAGTTTTATATAAATGTCCCATATTTTATAAAGGTAAATATCCCAAAAATAATGTGTTATATCCAAAAAAAAGTAATGATGAAGTTATTTTTTTTAATAGTAATTCCAATTTTTCTCTAGAGAATTGAATGCATATAATTATATGCATACAGTACATTATTTTTGTTTGATGGATTATATGGTGTTGCCATTCTATTTTTTATTTACTAAAATTTCGTTAAAAATTAAATTTGTATTAGAATTAGTGGTAAAAACCCGGGGTGAATTACACTTTATTAATACTTACCTATATTGTCCTATATTTTCCTGTATTAAGGATAAATGCCTAAAGGAAAATGCCTTTTATCCAAATTAGATGGGTGCTAAAAAACTCAAATATTGACAAAATTATAAATGAATATAAATAAATTCAAGTCAAATAATCCTACTAATTATTCCGCATAAATATTTAGTAGAATATAAGCAATAACCTAGTTTAATAATTAGTGTATGTTCCGATCAATAAACCACATGAAATCTTCGTTTCAAAAGATACATTGCAACTGGTTTCAACTAACAGATATTACATATTATATGAAAAGCACAACAAATTTGTTGTGCTTATGTGCTTTAACTCGAAATAATGTTCGTTTTTTAGTTCTGTTGTTCCGCTACAAAATGAGATATAGAATTATAAATATTGCAATATTGGCCACAGCATAAAAAAGACCCTGTATAAAATAAGGTGAGTTTACCTTTAGGGATTTATCCTGTTATCCTTGATGTTTAAGAAAATACAGGTATTAATAAATTTTAATTCACTCCGGTTTTTTACCACTTTTCGGAATATACTGTTTTTAACGAAAGGTTTAGTAAATAAAAAATAGCATGGCAACACCGCATAATCCATCAAATAAAAATAATGTACTATATGCAGAATTCTATGCTGCATCCAATTCCCTAGAAAAAAATGGGGGTTATAATTTAAAAAAAATAACTTCATCATTACTTTTTTTGGAATACCCTGTATAAAAAAAAAATGTTTTGTCTCCCTGTTATTAAACCACAACCTGCTTAAAAAAAACAGCAAATAACTTAAAAGTCTGGATTGGATTATCCGAGGTGTCTCACTATTGGAATTACATGTACATTTCTTAGCGGTCGTGGCAGTCATTGGCAGGCTTATGGCAGTCGCCTATGATAATTACATGGCAGTCATCAAACAGTCTTCTTCATAGTCATTGGTAGTCGCTTAGCAGTGGAAGGATATTTTGGCAGTACGTGCATTTTTTACACAGGTGAGACACCCCTCGGATTATCTCAAAACATATCTTCGAATTTTGGGGTATACATTTTTGGATTGAAATCATACGGTGTCTCCGTTATTCGTGAAGATAGAAGGGTGCGGTTTGCAAAAACCTGTGTCACTTTTTTGTCAAGCGGAAGATGCCGTAAACAAAATTTTCATAGTCCTCTACGTTTCTGAGCTACAGGGTATTTTTGAAAATTTTGGAATTTGGGACAATCCCTGTATCTCTGTTATTATTAAAGGTATCGAGACGGGGAAAACTGTTTATCGTAGAACTTTTTACGTAGAATACAGTGACGTAGTCTGTTATTCTAAGAAAATAACATTTTTAAAGATATGAACTAAAGTTATGTTTTCTTAAAAGGAACACCCTGTATATTTATAAATTATATGATTTGGCCAGTCATAAGCTTCTCAAAAATATATATCAGTCTATATTTATTTTCACTATTTAGTGCAATATTTAAAAAAATATATTAAAATATCGTATTTATCATTAGGCCATGATTGATAATAAAAGAAACTAAAGAATTATTAAAAAAGTATACTGCTATCTGTCTCTTGTTTTATTTTGACAGCCATTAATAAATTCTTTATACAGGGTGTCCCAGAAATAAGTGCAAATATTTTAAGTGGTAGTATAGTTCAATCCCTGAAACACGCCTATGAGGTTTTTTTCCCGAATTTTTTTTTTGAAAATTCGAAATTTTTTGGATTTTTTTTTAGTTTTTAGTTAAAAACAATAATTTCTTGATAATTTGGCTACATAGGTATTAGATAAAATTTACAAGAAAGAAAATCCAGAAAAGATCCATTGGTTTTCAAAATTTTAGCAAAAAATCATTTTTTTCGGAAACTTTCAAAGTAAAATAACTCCGTTATTTTGGACTTATTTGAAAAACGATAAAGAGAAAATATGTTTCTTTTATCGAGATCTACCACCCCTTAAATATTTGCACTTATTTCTGGGACACCCTCTATATTAGGGAAACTTAATTCTCTATCGCTATTTGTAAATCTTGGAAGCTATCGTATCGGATTTTTTAAATATTCCTTTAGCTAATTTACGTGAAATATACTTTCAGCAAGATGTACACCCCCCCTCACAACTCAACTTACGACGAGAATATTAAATTTTGAATCAATGGTGTAACCAATGAGGACCCATATGATGAAAGCCCCTGATTCCCGGATTTCTCCATTCTGGATTTCTGGTTTTGGGGATTTTTGAAATATGAGATATATCCTGGCAACTAATACAATGTCGAACACCTGGAAAATGCTTTAATAATGCAAGCTTTTTCGATATTTGCAAACCCATCCCGTTATAAAAAAAGAAAAATCTATTCAGAGATTCAGTAGTAACAGTTCAAAAGTAAAATATATCAAACTCAAATAAAATTTTAATGTGTATGACTATTTTAGTAAACCGTTTTGATTTTTTGTTATTTATCACGGCCTACTAATAAGAAAATGATCTATTTTAAATATTTCAGTAAATAGTGAAAATAAATATAGAGCAATATATATTTTTGAGAAGCTCATAGCAAGGCGGATCATATGATGTATAATTATACAGGTGTTCCATTTGAAAAAACCTAAATTTAGTTCTTATTTTCAAAAATATTTTTTTCGTTGAAAAACTGACTACGCCACTGTATTCTACGTAAAAAGTTCTACAAGAATCGGTGTTCACCTTCTTGATATCATTCATAATAATGGAAATACGGGGGCTGTCCCAAATTGCAAAATTTTCGAAAAGAACCTGTAGCTCAGAAACGAAGAGGGCTATGAAAATTTTGTTGACAGTATCTTCCGTTTGACAAAAAAGTGGCACAGTTTTGTGCAAACCGCACCCTTCTATCTTCACGATTAACGGAGATACCGTATGATTTCAACCAAAATGGGACAACCTGTACTTATATTGTGTTTTTGTGAATAACTATTAATGTGATTTTTAGCGACAATAATATAATTCAATAAAACTCAATTACTACCTTTTTGTGCTAAATATTTACAACTTTTTGTATAAATTTTTTCTAAAATTCAATATAGGCGACTTCACCTTTATCCGACGTATATGAAGTAAAATAAAGAAGAGACGCCTATGTATATCAAAAAGGGGAGATGGGCTTAGATTGGCACATTTTTATAAAACGAATTTAAACAAACGCGAATTTCGAGTTCAAATATCTTGAAATTAATTTGACAGAATAATTGACAGCCCCCGCCGTAGAAAAATACATTTATTGTGATTCATGTATACAGTATGTATAATATATTTTAAAAAATAAATTAATTATTGTTAAGTTTAGTTTGGTTTGGTTTGTTTTTTTGCTTCCTATATCAAATTAATCAGAGACTTGTTTTTATCTGTACAGAACTTTATTTTTTACATTTTTTTAAAATAATTTTATGAAACTCACAGAATAAATAAAACACTGACTAGGATACATTCCGTCTAATCTCCCCGATAAGATAAGAACGTCGACTTAAAAACACTACTACATGTAAAACTGTCTTTTTGAAGTGTGAAGCGGACCTGTCGGTGGAATTTCGGTCGTACCGTACGTGCCTACGTCGACAGTGTGTGTTTGTGTTCGTGTTTGGTCAGTACCGTCCGTCTTTCTGCTGCACGACATCCCGCCAAAGCTTTTCGGATTATGCTCGTAATCCGTCATCGTCATGGAAACGAAGAATTTCGGGTTGCGCGCCACCAATCAGAACGCAGAACCGTCGGCCTAGTGAGGTGTCCGAGCGCGGCGATTGGCCGAATCCGGAGGGCACACCGAGCCTCTTACTACGAGAGAATCCTTTAGTCCTTCCAGCAGGATCAAATGAGCATCGGCCCGACTCAGTCAAGCCACACGCGGCTCAGAGTAGGGGAACACTACATAGCACCACGCTTAACTTTCTTCTCGGCCAGTATAGTCAGCGCTTGCAAAGCGTTTCAAACGTCACAATTTTTGTCATTGTGTGTATTACATAAATAGATTCGCCCGGCGTGGAAAATATGTTTCACGTATAAATTTTTCTCTAGCTCATTTTCGTTTGCTCTCGGAAAAGGAGTTTTAATAGAGGACGATTTTTTTTGTGATCTGTGTGTCAGTGCGGCCGTTCTTCTTAGTGCTAAACATTTTTCTATACTAAAAAGAAAAAAAAATGGATATGTTACGGTACTTTGTTTGGTTCTTTTTATTCGTCTCCCTCGTTGGAGTGGTTAGTGCCAGAACCAAATCACCGCTCAAGGACGACGATCTCACTCCAAAAAATAAAGCTGCTGGTAAGTGTAATATTTATTAACGATAAAAAAATAACAACAAAACAAACACCGTCTGCGATATTACTTATATTCAGATATCGACATTTTCAACATAATATATCTTATTGCAAATATGTGTGCAATTTAATAGAGCGTTATTTTTTTAACCGGTAAACTTGACGTAAGTCGATACATCGATTAAAGGTCGAATATTTACCTTTAAACGCCTTTTTATTGTGTTGACTAACACCATACGTTAGGTGCAAATATTTTCAAAGAAAACTTTTTTATTTATATTTTCTCTTAGCGGTCTTTTATAACTCCATAGTAACATTTAAAAATTTCATTTAACAATAATATATTTAAATATAACTTCAAATGTTTTGCATATACATTTCGTTCGTGAAAATATAAATATAATAATTAAATGCGTTTTATAATAATCTTCAGGCTAGTTTTAGCTAAACACACATTTATTGAATAACTAAAATATGCGTGGGAAAATGTTCAAGCTATAATATGCAACTGTTTAAGTTGTTAAACATATTTGACTGACTGGCACATTTTTACTTATCAATTTATTCATTATTTTATCGGTTTATTTGTACTATTAACTTTTTTAAGTTATTTATTTTTTTTGAAAATGTTATAACCAAAATACGAAATGGAATATAATTAATGATTATTACTAGTAATTAAAGATCCTTGTAATTTATGTTCCAATAATTTTCGTTACCTTTAACCTCTAGTGAAAAAATCGTACGTTATCGCCAAAAAGCAGTTTTAACCTTCACCAAAATATCGAATGCAACTCAATATAGAATTTATTACTCTAGCGCCACGCCAATCTGAATGCAGAGAACATAAATTTTATCGGCTTCCTAGAAAAATTATCGTATTCCTGCATATTCCTTAGGCGCTAACCTTTGACACCGACTGCCAATTTCAACATAAATTATATTAAACGTTATTTATTATCGGCTTTCTGCAAGTATCCGTTGGGCCACACAAGGCTAATCCATTCATGTACATAACTATCAATTTACGCCTCTTGAAGTTCTTGATTACAATAAAAAGCGTAGTTGATACAGTTATTTATTTAATACCTCCTGTTGATAGAGTATTCTAAATGAAATAAAATAGGAGGTATGTCCAGTTTTAATTTTAAACTTCATTTTAAACTTAAATTTACCACATAGTTAGTTGTATTACATAGGAGGAATAGGAGGAAAATAAGAGTCTTTAAATTTGTATAAATAATTTTTTTCCTATTTATACCTACAGTATTCTTAATAAATAACTATATTAATCAAGTGGGTTTTGGTTTATAAATTATATTAATTTTAAATTTAACAGTCGTCTATTGTTTCATTTAAGTTGTGATTTGGGATGAGAGTGCAACAGTTTGGGCTCAGTTTAAAGGTTAGTTAACATATTCACTTTCATTGCTACAAAAAAGGGAGAAAAAAATAAAACACATAATAAACATTTTATTGCCACTTACTTTTTCCATTAAAAATAGACATGAGCAAATGTGAGACTAAGAGTATCTTGGTCTTGCACATAATAATAAGTGAGTCGTCAAGTTGCAAAACCCGCCTTATCCACTTATTCACTTTAAAAAATGGCCTAATCATATATACCTAATAGTGGACCCTGAAATCAACATAGAAATAGTCCCAAACTGCAGCAAAATCGCATATTCCTATATAAAATTCATTGCAAATTACGTTACTGCAGCAAAATCCATCTTATCCTCTTATATTTGCTTTTTATTGTCATTATTGTTGCAAATCCCGCATTTTTGCATAGTTTTTTTACACAAGTATAATATTACTACTGACGTCTTATCCATTTCAAATGCTTACCTAATTTTAATAAAATAGTATGTCTAAAAAATCAAGTTAGGATGCAAATATTTTGCTGTATCAAAACCCGCAATATGCATCATGCTGCAACAAAACCGAATCCGAAAAAATTATCCGAATTATTTTTGTGTTTTTTCTCTTCAAAAATTAAATATTAATTTTTATTTCAAGAAAAACGAGATAAAAAACAATAATTCCACTTAATGGGCATAGTTTTTTGTAAAAAACGCTTCAAATATTTGCTAATAGCAATGCATATAGCTTTCTCGAAACAACGTTTTTGGGATAAGACCTTGCAGAGGTTTTGCTGCTAGACTCGTGCAAGTATTGCATTTTTAATAGATTTCTAGTCGTTAGCGTAATTAGCAATTTATCCTGGAGTGGGCCTGGGGGGGGGAGCTGAAGTTGAGCCCGCCCCTCCTGGGCTCAATCCCAGGCCAACCTAGGGCTTTTTTTTAATGAAAAATAATTTTAAAAAACTCATTTTTTAATAAAACGTTTACATGAATTTCTCTATCAATAAATTTCATAGACTTGGTTATCAAACCGTGTTCAAAAAAATAAAAATTAACACATTTTTTGAACACAACAAAATAATATTAACTAAACAAAACTAGAAAACGTCATTTTTATTGCATCACAAGCAAATAAAAATTAATACGTAGCCAAGAGTCATAATTCAGGATTTCTCTGGGGGGTGCCCAGCTGTACCTGAGGGGGGCCCGGCACCTCCGGGCACCCCTGTAGTTACGCCAATGTTTCTAGTAGAGGCAATTCAAAAATATTCTTTTACACCTGACCTCGATGAAATATGATTTTTAGCTAAGGTTTGGAAAAATTAATTACAATTGGGTTTGGAAACTTTGATGTTACCCAACAAAATAAAACACTAAATCACCACAATACACCAAAACACTTTTACTTTTACACTGGACGCGCGTTTCGCTACCTATGTTAGCATCATCAGCAGATGATTAAAACTGAGAGTGTTTTATTTTGTTTTATTTGGTAGAATGAAGCATTACTCTAGCTTTGCCAATACCAAATTTAAATTCATCAGAAGATAAAAATGGTTTGGGTTGTTGGTTAGGTTATAGAAGCGCTTTTATTTTATTGGGGCACCGACTATTAACTGATGGGGTCTATATTCTAATAAATTTACCTAACCGAACAAATACAACACTAAGTGTGAATAATTGTATAATAAAAGTATCGGGTTGCGCAGGGTTTTCCCTACAATTAGGATACTGTAGTATAGCAGCAGGTGGTAAATGTATTTTTGAATTTAAAATAGTTAGCTTTATTACTCTATGTGACTTTTGTATAATATCTGAGAAATTATTGATACAAAAATAAATAATTATTCATTGTAAAATTTTATATTATATTCTTTGATCTTCTAAGAATGTATTGTTATATTATTCCAAGATCATATAAGTCTACATGCTAAGCATCACGTAAAACTTATTGTTTTTAAATCTAAATGAACACAATTATGTGATAAAATATTGGAGTGCGTTCACAGATATATTTTTGCGTCAAAATTATTTGATTTATTGTTGGCGCGACTATCAGATACCAATATATGCTGGGATATATGGTTTAATGCTTGCAGAAGCTTCCTTTCACATCAATATGCTGTAATATCTTTAGGGGATAGGGGTCCTGAACTGGGATTTCGGGATCCCGGTTTATGTTTATCTTCGAAATCCCGATTTAGATTTTTTTTTGGTATAGTCACAGACTAACCTAAATCTAATTTAGTTTGTGTGTGTGTGGTATAGTGTAGTAAGAAGCAGGTTGCTAAGAAATACTCATAGAAGTGTGCCTGTGGTGGAAGTATAATACCCCTAAATATATTTGCACTTATTTACATACATACATTCATTCATACATACAACATACATACATACTGCCATTACTCGCTGATGAGTATTCGACACGCATCAAAAGATGATCACGCAAGGCGTTTTCTTTCATGAGCTTTTCTGTGACTGAAAAGCCCGATACGTGATGTTGTTTGCCTACCGCACTCCGGAAATTCAAAAATCTCATTGCTTTGTTGCCTCTTTACTTTTTGGTTGTCGCTGTTAACTGAGTTTACAATTCTTCTCCATTGAGTTCTATTATGAACTGCTTCTTCCCAATGATTCTGAATGTTAATCCCCTTTAAGTTTTCGTGGAAAATGTCCTTGTACCTTTTGAGTTGTCCACCCGGCCTCCTCTTACCGTCTACAAGCTCACCGTAAAGCAGAGATTTTGGTATTTCTTGCATTCTGCATACATGACCAGCCCATCTTAAGCGGGATTTTGTAACCATGACTTCAATACTCTCGCAGTTAGCTTTTTCAAGGACCGATACGTTTGAGATATGACGGAACCACCGGATTCTTAAGAGTTGTCAAGATGTCTCTGTTGCAACTTGTTTAATGCGTTCATGTGTCGGCGGTACGGCACCCAGGTTTCGCTCCCATATAACATGGTGGGGATTATAATTGTTCGATACACTGCAAGTTTCGTTTTTGTACTCAGGTCATGATTGTAGAAAACCCTGTCTTTTAATTTCCAGAATGCTCTTGAGGCGCTGCTAATCCTGTGCTGAATTCTTAAGGCGCTCCTAATCCTGTGCAAATATATTTGCAGTTTCTTAAGACTGACCTAGCCTATAAATATATTTTTTTAAAACATTGTTATTATTGTTAATTGGTTTTTATTAAAATTCAAACGTTCCTTACTCCACTATTGTACTTATTGCTCTAGATTACTTAACTGAAGTTATCATATACATCATCGGGATATTTATAAGATATATACTTGGAGATGTATCTAACTTAATATTCATATCGTTGGATATTAATATCTTTTCAATCGCAGTTATTATTTATAAAACTGATACAAACATTATGAGCTCAGAAATATATTCGGAGTTGTTTATCACATCACTTAAATTCGTAAATATATAAAGTTTAAAAATTTATTTAGTCCTTATAGGCACAAAGTTCGAAAGATTTATGACTTTGTCACAGGAGGAATTGTGGTCATACGGTTTATACCAAACATATTATACCAGGGATCGCGGTTCTTCCAACTATTGATAGACCAACGGACTGAAACAAATATGGAACGATTATGGTTTCCAAACTTTCGGGATTT